TCCAGGACCTACACTGTGGAAGAAGAGAATCAATTTATTACATACACATATGCAGAAGTAAATGCACATACATGTGTGCAGGCGCACGCACGCAGGGAAATAAATGTAAAAAAAATCTTAATTAAAAAGAAGGGGAAGTCATGCATAGTAGTGCACAGCTTTAACTCAAGCACTTGGAAGGCAGAGGCAGGCAAATCTCTTCTGAGTTCAAGGCCAGCCTGGTCTACATAGTGAGTTCCAGGCCAGTCAAGGGTAGACTGGCAAGACCCTGTCTCAAAATAGAAATGAATAAAAAAGAGGTGGGGCAGGGCAACACAGACCCAGTTCTTCTACTTCTAAGTAATGAAACCGACACAGGGCCTATCCGACTCAGTTATCCAGCTTCCCTATCTACATGGAAGAAAATTACCACAGAGAGAGATCAATCAAGCCCTGTTTGATCCCCAGAACCACCAAAAGAAAATTTTGAAAAGGATCAGTTAACAAAGGAAGCTCTCTGCAAGAAAATTTTGAGAGGCTGGCTGGCAGTTACCAGTAATGAAGTCAGCCAGAAAAGTGAGGAAACACTAGAAATTGGTGCACGAGGCTAAGCAGGAGTAAGCACCAGTACAACAAGCAGAAGAAATGCTACCAGAAAAAAAACGAACCACAAGGATATATACAGCCCTGGTCCTGAGGAGTGGCTGCTACAGGAAACTGGGCGACTATCTCTGCGCCCACCTGCCCCAAATAGCAGTAGTGAGTGAGCAGTTTAGCAATTAAATACTCCCTGGAGCCATATCTTCAAATCTATAAAATAGGTTTGGGGAGATGTCCTAAGGATATGATTTCTAAAGGATATTTCCAGCTATGACTTGTTGACTCTAGGAATTCAGGGATGCCTTAAGCACCCCAAACAAGAGGTGTTCACAAGCTGAAAGTCAGGAATGAGCTTTAGTCCACTTGTTTATTGGAAAACTAAGTATATGATTCACCCTTTTTACACTGCTGCTGTCAGTACACGCCTCTTCCCAACCCATTATATCCGTTAGGTGTACCGCGCTTTGCGACGCTGATGTGTTTCCAAGCTTTTTTTCGGTTCTAGAAAAACTCCAGAGCGCATACCAAACCATTCGATTACATGTTGTGTTTGAGCAACATTATCCATGCAGACTGTGAACTTATTCCTGCCCGAGTCGTGCCCATCAAACGAGCATAAACGAAACTGGTCAGGGCTGGTGAGGAGGGCAAGAGGGTAATACAGGACGACCTAGGCACCGCAGTGCTTGCAGCCTGAAAGAGGAGCAGTGTGGCAACAGGCTGCTTTATCACAGGCTGGGATGCATTTCGTCCCTCTACCTGCCTCGACGGCCCTGAGCACTGCAGGAAGGAGGCGGAAGCATTGACCACCACGAGCCGCCAAGGGAGAGGGGGCGGCTGGGAGCGGCCAAGGCGGAAGGGAGCACCCAGCTTCAGCCTTTCTAAGCCACCCGGCGAGATCCAGGAGCCCCACAGACAAGGGCCGCAGCGACTCGCGAATCTGCCGCCGGAGGCTGAGGCCGTCACCACGGGGACAAAGAGCCCCTGCGAGGCCAGGAGTAGCAGGGTGACGGGAAGGCATAGATTAAGGAGCATATAGGGCTCAGGGGATCTAAGGGCGTCCGGGCGCGCCCCCGGGGTTCGGGCTCCTCACCGCCTCCTACGCGCCGCCACTGCCGCTACCGCCGCCATCTTGTACCCGGTTTGCTCCTTGACCCGAACCTACCCGCCCCTGCGCACGTTGAGCCACGTACCCTAGTCCCCGCCCCTTCCGGCCTTCCGATTGGCCTGGCCAGAGCGCGGCCGGACGTCTATGCCATTGGTCGATCGCGTTCTAAATTATGAATGGGGCGTGGCTGATGTCCCCGCCTCTGCATTCTCAGGCTTTGGCAGCTTGCGTAGGCAGATAGAAACACTGGACTGTTTGTCTCAACTCCGCAAATTTTATTTTAGAAAAAATGGGGTTTGAAAAAAGTGACACCGCTCATTAGTACGGACTTAGAAGCCTCCACCCTTCTGTAGCACCTTAGTCTCTTCTTTCACTATTCAACCTCTCTCGATTTCTGGAGCAGAGAAAAGGTCAAGTCCCCTGTCGAAGCGAAGTGGACGATGAAGGTGCCTGAAAACGGCCAGAGAAGAGCCCCAGGCGATCGATGTTGCGGTGGAGGACACTATGCAGCACAGCCAAGTGGGGTCCTCCTTCACCTCCACCCTCCCTAGAAAAGTCTCGTATGAAGCGGCCACGCTCAGACTGGAAGATGAACTTCTGGGGCAAGGGCCCATGTTCCCGGAGAAAACCCCAGACACTAAGCAGCAACAGACGCACTTCAAAAGGTGCCAGTTGGCTAAATACCTCGTGCATATTACCCAAGGCTGGTGGCAAGAGGCTTCCCTCAGCCATGACAGCCACCAGGGTGCAGGATGCCTCCAGGTGCCAGGGGGAGTGGGCTGTATCAGGGTGTCGAGAGGCTTCCCAATGGCTCAAGAGGGCAGCCAGCAGCCCCCGCAGCAGCACGGAGCAGTAGCACAGGGCTGGGGGAGCAGCTGCTACCAGCTTCAAAAGCTCAAACAGGAGGGGTTGTTCCCGGAAGCGCCGACCAATGCGGAGATCCCGCTCCACAGTGGCCCGTGCGTGATCCTCAGGGGGCCAGGCCAGCTCAGCACCAGCTGCATCAGGACACACGCTCTCCACTAAGGTCACTGCAACTGCTTTGGCTGCCTCTGGGCTCAGGGTGGGAGCACCCCAGCAACCCTCACACTCACTGCCCACAGGTGCACTGCAGCAGTGCACTAAAAGGCTAAGGAGGCTCTGGGTGTTATAGATCACTTCCTGATGGTTTCGAGATTGAACAAGCTTAGGTGGCTTTAAGCCACGACCGATGACTCCAGCGTGGAAAACTGACCAGATCCCTCCAGGACCTGGCACAGCTGCAGTATGCCTCCGGTTAATGTCCAACAAAGAGGCAGAAGCCAAAGGGGTTGAGACAGCTGAGAGAGTCTCATTGTCCCCATCCATTTCCCCTCCAAACAGTTCTGTGTTGCCCCGATGTAAGGCTCCCTCAACTAGCAGCTGCAGGACAGCCTTGAGCCCAGCTGGGGAAGTCTGAGAAAGGCGTGTAAGAAGCTGGGAGGCTGAGGCCACGCCAGGAGGGCCATGTAGCCTTAGAGAAGCAAAGAAGCGGTGTACCCCAGCTCTCACTAATCCCAAAAGTTGGGAAGGAGACAGGGACTCTGAAGGAAAAGGACATATTGCCAGGAGGGAGGCAGCAGCTTCAGCTACTTCCTCCTCTGGATGTAACAGAAGAGGAGCCAGATCAGACAGGTGGGCTGAGGCCGACTCCCCAAACCGGGCCCCTAAGGCTGAAGGGCCTTCACCACCCTGCTGTTCCCACCCCACTAACAAGGCCAAATTGCGCAGAAACCGGGCTGTGAAGGGAGGCTGTAGAGTCCCTGCATGCACTCGAGCCAGGCAGCTTCGGAAGGCCAGGGGAAGAAGGCCAGAGAGACTAACCACTAGCCCTGCATATAGCTGGGTTGCCAAACTCAACTCTTCAGGGCTTCGGGCTCTGCTCAGTAGATGGCCCAATGCCTCAGGTCCACAGCTAGGTCGAGTATAGACAGACAGTAGGCCCAGGAGCTGGTGCTGCCAGAGGAAGCGCTTCCGTTCCAGCCGTAATGTCTCTCCACACAGCTCTCCAACATGGTTTCTTAATGCATCAAGAAAGGGCACTGGACGAGGAGGTGGGGGTGGGCCCAGCACCCCTTCTCCAGGAGACCCTCCACGATGATGAACCAGTTTTTGTAGATGCAGCAATAGCAGCTGGATTAGCCGGTCACAGGCCTCTCTTACTGTGTCTGGCACAGCCAAGCCCTGGGTAGTAATGACTGAAGCAGGCATAGCTGTATCCACTAAGAACTGCAGCAGGCGGTAGGCACCAGCCCCAGAGGCCTGACTCACCAAATGCACAGCCAGGTTTAGCATGTTGTCCAGCTCTTCTCTGGGGAACCCCTGTAGGTGTTGTTGCAGCTGGCTTAGCACTGCCGGGGGCTTGAGGCAGTCTACAAGTTCTCCAGAGACTGTGCCTAGTAACGCTGGTGACATGACTGCCAGCTGCAGTAGGAAAGGAACTGTAGCCTGAAGGGAGGGTTCCCCATTGCGGCTCCCAGTACCCCCTGCCAAGCTATCATGAAACATGCGCAGGAGTTCCCGTCGAATGCTGTCTCCATGGCGAGAGGCCAGATGCCCTAGGATGCCTACAACTGAGGCAATCTTGGGCACCCGTTTTTCCCCAGGAATAACAGGAGATCCAGGGAAGGGATCTGTAGACGGGGTTTGAGAAGAGCTTCCACCACAAGCACCAGTTCCTCCTCCAGCCCCGCTATGGACACAGAAGTCCTTAAGACCACAGGAGAGGACTCGGGAGATGATGGTACCAGGAAAAGAAGAGCCAATATGGGCCACAACCCAGTCAAAGTGTGGCGAATGCTGGACAGAAGTGTCCAACAAGGCATCTACACACGCATCTGGGCAGCTACCAATGAGAGCCGACAGGCACTGCACATAGATGTCCATCAACGTGCGGGTGGCCCTACAGCCCATCCACAGCTGCAACAGTTCATTGAGAGAGCCAGTGGCATGGGGAACACGCTGATGCTGACCTGAATATGTACTGCTCAGCTGTCCCATAAGGTCAATGGACCATGCACTAATCACAGGTGCCCAGGCCTTTGGGTTGGCCCGGATGAACTCACATAGCACCTGCTGCACTTCGTGGACCACATCCTCTAAGCCAGGTCCACCAGCAGGGACATGGGAAGGTGGAGGTGGACGGAGATGGGGTGGACCAGCCACAGGACTTTCCTCTAGGGCAGCTAGGTGGGCCCGGACACTTTCATCAAAAACACCTCTCAAGTGGTCCAGTACAGCAGCCCGAGCAGGTGGCAAAGACCGGAGCAGGAGAAGACCACATCGAGCATGTTCACGAGCTGAGAGCTGGTGGCCCAGAATGGGGTCTACACCCGTCAGAAAAGCTTTGATTTCTTGGGACAGCTCCTGGGCACTAAAAGGAAACAAAAGAATTGACTCAGAACACTGGGAGATGTTAGAAAGGTTACATTCCTTCCAAGAGCTTCCGACTGTCTTGTGTATACTAGGGTGAAATGTCCCTCATAAGAATCATAGAGGTTCAGAAGCATACCCAAGCCTTGGTCACTTCAGCCATTCCGAAAATGATATCTGTCTTTCAACAACAACAATCATATCAGTAGCATGTTACCTTTCAAATATCCAGGTATCTTTCTTCTTTTTCAGTGCTAGGTATCAAACCCAAGGCTTTAAGGCATTCTAGGCTAGAGCTCGCTCACTGAGCGACATCCCCAGTCCCATTCTGACAACAATATGGTTAGACTGTTATCCCATTTTATAGATTAAAAAATGAAAGAGATCAGGCTGAATGCTCCGAATGGGCAGAAATCACTTCTATGCTCTTAAAACAGAATTCGTGGCTTGCATAGTGGCAAATACCCTTAATCCCAGTACTTGGAAGGCAAAGGCAAATGGATCTAAGTTGAGCTCGAAGCCAGCCTGGTCTACATAGTAAGTTCCAGGACAGACAGAGCTACAAAATGAGACCCTGTCTCGAAAATTAACAAACAAATAAATCAAGAAAAACAAAACCACAGAATTCAGTTCTTTTTTTTTTTTTTTTTTTTTTTTTTTTGGTTTTTCCAGACAGGGTTTCTCTGTGGCTTTGGAGCCTGTCCTGGAACTAGCTGTGTAGACCAGGCTGGTCTCGAACTCACAGAGATCCGCCTGCCTCTGCCTCCCGAGTGCTGGGATTAAAGGCGTGCGCCACCATCGCCCGGCCAGAATTCAGTTCTATTAGGATGTTGGAATATGGAAAATATTCAATGAAGATTTGGTGAATACATTCTGGAGTTCTATACCTGCTTTAACATCTTCCACACCCCCCTCTACAGCACAAGTACCCTGAAATCTTGTAAAGGCCAGAAAATTGTAAACCCTTTACTAAGCACTCCCCTTCGCAAATGTGTGCCTTCTCATACTGTAGAAGAATTCCGCCAGACTTGATGGACAGGCCTTTAATCCCTTGAATGAGTTCAAGGCCAACCTAGTCTACTTGAGTTCCAGGACAACTAGATCACTCCATAGAGAGACCCTACCTCAAGAAAATAAAAGAGTCCTAACCGCGTTTTAAAAATCATCTTCAGTGTGCCGAGAATGCCGGGGGCGGTCAACAGTCTTTCAATCCTTCCCTCCCCATATATATAAGCTCTGTCTTAAAGGTTCAGAAAGCTATGTTGAGGCAGGAAGTAAAATCCATTTCCTCTTACTATCTTTTCAAAGACAACAGCATTCTCTAGGCTGATAGGGTTCTGTGCCATCCCTCTGGTTCAAAAACAAAAGGGCACCTCAAAATAAAGGACTTGTGCAAAGGAAGGACTAGCTCAGCCTTGGTTCCCAAGACACTCTCCATGTAGTCTGAGCCTCCTTGGGGCAAAGGGGGCAGGGAGGCTGGGTTCTCAAGAGTCTTGATGTCCCCAAGAGCTGGCAGAGCAAGGCCGGCATAAGAAGCCACTGAGGTCTCGGGGGAAGCATAACCAGGGGCAGCCCAGAGTTTTTAGTGAGGCGGTCCCTGAGTTCCGGGAGGACGCGACCAGAATCGCTGAGAACCCTGACGCGAGTTCTCAAGGTATGATCCGGCTTTCTGTAGAGAAGGCTGGGCATCGGCGCGGGGTCGCGCGATGAGGGGGGGGGGGGATACCAGGGGCTCTGACTACCTGAGAGGCGCGGGACCGTGGGTGGCGGGGGCAGGCCCGGGTGGCCCTGGGGCCCCGGGAGGGTCGCACAACGCGGACATCCCGGAGCCCTACCCGGAGCCTGAGGCGGGAGCGGCGAAGCACAGGCGACGCATGCGCGCTGACTGGAAACGCGACAGAAGCCAGCGACCCCGCCTCTCAGGAAAATCAGTCCGGTCAAGTCTGAAGCCTTAGTACTTTGGTTCCGCGTCGCATCGGTCACAGCAGGTATCGGGTTTGCCCTTCAAGAACTTTCTCCCCCACACCTTCCCCAAAGGGCCTCATCGGCACAGGAAAGCTGCCTGGAACCTTTCATTCATAGTGCGACCTATTTATTTCCCTAACACCAGTAACATCAACCTGCAATTCATGGGCTGTTAAAAAACGGGGCACGGAGCCGGGTGGTGGTGGCACACGCCTTTAATCCCAGCAGAGGCCGGTGAACCTCTGTGAGTTTGCGGCCAGCCTGGTCTACAAGAGCTAGTTCCAGGATATACTAGGACTGTTACACAGAGAAACCCTGACTCAAAAAAACAAACAAACAAACAAACAAACAAAAAACGGGCGGTGGTGGCGCACGCCTTTAATCCCAGCACTCGGGAGGCAGAGGCAGGCGGATCTCTGTGAGTTCGAGGCCAGCCTGGTCTACAAGAGCTAGTTCCAGGACAGGAACCAAAAAGCTACGGAGAAACCCTGTATCGAAAATAAAAAAAATAAAAGAGAGAGAGAGAGAGATTGAGAGAGAGCGCGCCTGTAATCCCAGCACTGGTCTAAACCAAGACCTAAGCCAGCCAGAGCTACATGATGGGACAGTGGCTAATATAGCATATTTCTCTTTTTCGTTTGCCTGCTTGTTGTTTGCTTGTAGAGATAGGGTCTCATGAATTTAAACCCTCAGTCCTCCTGCCTCTTTCTCCCAGGTGCTAGGATTACAGGCACGCCACTACACCTAGCTTTTGCTTTGTAGATCAAAACTGCCCAGGCTTTTGTGTAATTCTTTTTGCTCAAGTGCTCTTCCTCCCTCAGCCTCCACAGTAGCTGAGACTAGATACTTGCCCCTACCCTGGCTTACCATGGGGCTTCTTGCCCTTAAAGATTTTACAATCTAAGGGCAAGATTTAGGTTTGGATTTATCTGCCAGTGTTGGCAATATAACTGACTGAACTAGCTGCCTGGACCCTATTTCCTCATCTCGAAGATGCGCATGACTTATCTGCCTCACATAGTATAAATACTTGAAATAATTTATGCAAAGTTCTTTTATAGTTTGTCTGCTTTGTATTTTATTTTTCGAGACAGGGTTTCCCTGTGTCCCTGGCTGTCCTGGAACTCACTCTGTAGGCAGGTTGACCTCAAACTTAGACCCACCTGCTTCTGCCTCCTGAGTGCTGGGAAGAAGTGTGGGTGCCACGACACCCAGCCCAAAGTTCTTGATATAATGCTGGATACAGAAACTGCTCTGAGTAACAAGAGTCAGTATGAAAGGGCTAGAGAGATAGATCAGTGACTGCTCTTTCAGGGGACCCAGGTTCAAAATCCACACCCTCATGATGGCTCACAACCATTTCTATCTAAAGTTCCACACGGGATTAGATTATACTCCTAAAGATAGCCATGGTCTAGTCCCTTATTTGGCCACTGACTCATTCCTTAGACAAAACACCAAGGTTCAACAATCAAAGTTCATTATTTGGCTAACATGTTCAATCAAGACTTATCAACTCTCCCTCGCAGGCTCCCCCATTTTCTCCTTAAAAAGCCACCCCAGGGGGGCTGGAGAGATGGCTCAGAGGTTAAGAGCATTGCCTGCTCTTCCAAAGGTCCTGAGTTCAATTCCCAGCAACCACATGGTGGCTCACAACCATCTGTAGTGAGGTCTGGTGCCCTCTTCTGGCCCGCAAGCATACATGCAGACAGAATACTGTATACATAATAAATAAATAAATATTTAAGAAAAAAAAAAGAGCTGGGCAGTGGTGGCGCACGCCTTTAATCCCAGCACTTGGGAGGCAGAGGCAGGCGGATCTTTGTGAGTTCGAGACCAGCCTGGTCTACAAGAGCTAGTTCCAGGACAGGCTCCAAAACCACAGAGAAACCCTGTCTCGAAAAAACTAAAAAATAAAAAAAAAGAAAGAAAAAAAAAAAGACCAAAGGTCCTGAGTTCAATTCCCAGCAACCACATTGTGGCTCACAACCATCTGTAATGGGGTCTGGTACCCTCTTCTGGCCTGCAGGCATACACACAGACAGAATATTGTATACATAATAAATAAATAATTAATAAATAAATAAATATTTTTTAAAAAGCCACCCCAGCAAAAAACAAACAAACCTACTTGCTACTATTGCTGCTTGCTGTCTGCCTTTGCCAGAGGCAGCCTCTCCCATTGCTGGTCCCTCTGGGGTAATAAATCTTTTTGCTGAGAATTTGGTGTCTGGGTGTGTCCTAGTCAACTCCAAGGGGACTGCCCTCCCATACATGTTGCCCTTGTCTGGCCTTTCTAAACACCTGAATATCCTGTACATATCAGAATTTTTTTTTTTTGAGACAGGGTGTTTCTGTGTAACAGCCCTGGCTGTCCTAGAACTCACTCTGTAGACCAGGCTGGCCTCGAACTCAGAGATCCACCTGCCCCTGTCTCCCAAGTGCTGGGATTAAAGGCGTGCACCACCACCACCCAGCCAAAACATATTTTAAAAAGTTTTTTAGGTCTGTTTCCTCACCTGTCAATTAGGTACATGATAGTGGAACTGACATGCTCATTGCAGTCATGAATCAGAACAGCTACCCATATGAGAGCCTATCAATATTCCCCTATAGGAGGTGCCGGTCATCAGCCCCTCACCTCAGTGCCTAGGCATGATTCCCACTACCACCCCCAACCCTAGCAGCATATGATCTTGTTCCAGGTACATGCTAAAATGTCTAGGTGAAAAGTTGACTAGAGTTAGCTGGAATGATGCCGCTTTCTTGAGTTGCCACTTGTGCCAGGGGATGCAACTGCCCAAGAGTCACTCACATTCCTGTTACAGACAAATAAAAACAATGAATATAGCCTGGCAGTGGGGGCACACACCTGTAATCCCAATACTCAGGAGACAGAGGCAGGCAGACCTTTGTGACTTCAAGACCAGCCTGGTCTACAGATGCAGTTCCAGGCTGCCAGAACTACACAGAAACCCTGTCTGGGTGGGGTTAGAACAAAAAAAAAAAAAAAAAAACCCAAAAACCCAAGTACTTGATTCACTAAGCTGGACTTTGGACTTAGATGGAATCATTAGTTTGACTTGTCAGTATGGGGATTTCTGTGTCTCTCCAGGGTATATTTATATTTAAGGGTATGGTTGCATGGTTAATGAACTAAACATGTAAGAAACATCTGGTGAATATTAAACATTTAAACATTCTTTTTTTTTTTTTTTTTTTTTTTTGGTTTTTCGAGACAGGGTTTCTCTGTGGCTTTGGAGCCTGTCCTGGAACTAGCTCTGTAGACCAGGCTGGGCTCGAACTCACAGAGATCCGCCTGCCTCTGCCTCCCGAGTGCTGGGATTAAAGGCGTGCGCCACCATCGCCCGGCTAAACATTCTTATATTTTTTTAAGATTTTTTTGTGACAGGGTTTCTCTGTGTAACAGCTTTGGCTGTCCTGGAACTCACTCTGTAGACCAGGCTGGCCTCCACATCCCAAGTGCTGGGATTAAAGGCATGTGCCACCACTGACCATCTTGTTCTTATTTTTAAGTTCTATGTATATGAGCATGCCTGTGTATATATAGATACACAAGTACAGGTGTCTTCAGAGTCTAGAAGAGAACATCAGAGCCCCTGAAGCTGGAGTTACACGTGGTTGTGAGATGCATCACGTTTATTTAAAAGTTGTTTGGGGATGGAGAGTTGAGAGGACTAGGGTTCAATTGCCAGCATACACATGGCAGTTCCCAATTGTAATTCCAATTCTAGGGGAGTTTCTGGCCTCCTTGGGCACATAGTGCACATACATCTATGCGGGCAAAGTATTCATACCCATAAATCTAAAAGAAGAAAGAAAAAAGTTGTCTGTGGAGCTGGAGTGATGGTTCAGTGGTAAGAACACTTGGTGCTCTCTCAGAAACCCAGGTTCAGTTCCTAGCACCTACATGGCAGCTCACTCCAGTTCCAGTGGATACAACAGCCTCTTCTGGCCTTTGCAGACACCAGGTATGCACAATGCAAATGCATGCACATTCATGCAAGCAAAAAACTCAAACACATAAAACAGTCTGTTACTGATATTTAGTAGAGAAGGAATGGAAAATTGGAGAAGTGCTTTAAGTCCACTCTAATTTTTTTTAATGTGTTGGTTGTGCTTTGTTGTTACATTTACTGTGTATATGGGGGACCATGCTTGCCAAAATGCAAGCGTGGAAGCCAGAGGACAACTTTGGAGAGTTGGCTCTCCTTCCACTGTTAAGGTCACAGGGATGGGACTCAGGTTGTTGGGCTTGGTGTCAAGCCCTCCAACTATTTAGATGTTTGCAATGGTAAAAGCAAGTTAGGAAAGGGGGCTGGGCCGGGAGGTGTTGGCGCACGCCTTTAATCCCAGCACTTGGGTGGGAGGCAGAGAGGCAGGCGGATCTCTGTGAGTTCGAGACCAGCCTGGTCTACAAGAGCTAGTTCCAGCCAGGACAGGCTCCAAAACCACAGAGAAACCCTGTCTCGAAAAACCAAAAAAAAAAAAAAAAAAAAAAAAAAAGGAAAGGGGGCTGGGCATGTCTTATACCCATAATCCCAGCACTGTGGAGGCAGAAGCAGAGGGATCACATGTTCAAAACAGACCTGGGCTATATATGGAAGACCCTGTCTCCCTACTGCATGAGTGCTGATAGAGAAATAGAGACATACAGGTGCTCAGGATGTAGATGGCAAAAAGAAAGCCTAGAATGGATGGGGCCCTGGGTTTGACTTCCAGAACCACCACCATCACCAGTTTAAAAAAAAAAATGTCCTTACTATAATCCCAGGTCACACAGGTATAGTGGCAGATTCCTTGTCTCCCCACCTATCATCCAATAACCTCCAATTTTCAAAAATGGAAAACTGGGAGTGTTACTGTATAGAAAGATGGGGACTACTTTAGAAGCTACCTAGTTTGTTTTTGAGATAGGGTTTTACCATATAGCCCTGGCTGACCAGGAACAAGCTAGCCTAGAACAGAAATCCACCTGCCTCTGCCTCAAAGTGCCGGGATGAAAAGTGAGCACCACCACACGCTGCAATACCTAGTTTCTTACTGCTTTGCTCAAGCACACTGTGTGTCCCGCTTCTGGACTGTCTCTCAAAGGCCTTCTTCTTATAGGGCCCATCCCCATTCTTGCACTTCATCACACGTTAGTTAAACCTCCAGGGCTTTATTACAAAAGGAGTTGGTTGCTAGAGCGGGACCTCTCCAGTCTTTTTCTGCATCTTCTTCCCTCCCAATATGTAACTCCAGGGAAGGTCAGTGGGCCACTCAAGGGTGTCTGGGAGAGTGAAATATGGTAGTATTTTCTCCAAAGTCCTCCAAATCCTCTGGCTGCTGTTGAGAATCTTCTCATAGCAGAGGTAGGGGCTTAGCTCTCATCTCCCAGATCCTCCATATCTACATCCTGGGGAACTTTCATCTTCTTTTGTCTTTTGGGCTGTGGCTCACTAGTCCTGGATGACTTGGAGGGGTTTTCCACTGAACAAAGAGAAAGAAAACAGGAAGCATTAAAGAACCCAGGTAAAAATCCAGACTCCCTTTCATGGAACCTCTGTGCCCCAGACATACCTTCCATGGCTGCTTTTTCTTTCTGAGCAAGGCGGATTTGCTGCAGGAGTTTCCTGCGCTTCTTCCCGGACAGCGTGATGTTGGCACGTGCGCTGGATCTGAGGCACAGATAGAAACAAGGATATCCAAGTTAATCTGAACCACCCTAAGTCACAAAAGTGATCCTACCTACAAAAAGACTTATGTATGTCTCCTAGGTGTGTACCTTTGAGAAAATTCAACTAATTGATTGCACTTATGTGGGCACTTTTATTTCAAAAATCTAAGTTAATGTAGATAACCATTTGAAGGATGGAAGAGTCAACAATCTTTGAGGAATCCAAACCTAAGAAACCCTGTGAGAAACGGTACTGCGAGAGGTTGATGGTCTGGGAACTAATCTAACTGTCAACTAGTTCCTGCTTAAACGTGAGGTAAAAGTTTGAGCTGCTCTGAAGCTTGGGAGGAACGACTACTCGGAGGAGGCTAGTACCACACTCACGCCCGCTTCTTGAGGTGGTGCCTTGTGGTCAGCCCCGCGTCTATCACAGCCCCGACCACCTGGCGCTTCCGTCGCCGGTCCCTGCTCAGCACCCTCCGGCGCTTGAATAACTTCTTCTTCAGCTCCTGAGGGAGAAAAAGATGCGCAGCAGAGTAAGATCACCGTGCATGCCCAAATTCTCGCACCCGGGTACTCCAAACACCATTGATCCTGTCTCGGGAGAGGGAAACGCTCCGGGAAGCCTGGGGAAGCAAAGGGACAGCGCCCACAGTCACCGTGCGGGGACGATTGATCTTTCCTCCGGGAGGTCCCATAGCGGCACTCTAAGGCACAAGCGTGGAGCCGCACTTCCGCTCTGCTTGCAGGTTCCGCCTGGCGCAAAGGCTCCGCCCGCCTTGCACCCATGGACCAATCGCAATGCGAGGGGAGGGGCGGACTCCGTGCTTACATAAACGAATTCCGCGGCCGTACCGGTCTTTCGAAGGACGTCTTTCATGTAAGTGGCTTCTGACTGTTGGCATGCTGGGGCAGTTGGGCGCTGTTGGGATCTGGGCCTGGCTTTGTAGACCCTCCATTTCTTGGCGGGGACCGGGCGTGCGGTCCTGCTCCCCGTTATGTACGGAGGCAGAAGGAAAGGGCTCCGGCCCTCTCGGCGTTATGTCTTCGGTGCCTGCGGCCTCCCGTTCGCCGGTTCTATCCTCAGACGCCGGGACATCTCTCTATGCAGAAATGTAGCAGGAACCGGCAGTCCCCTCTATGCGGTCGGTACTGAACGCTCTTTTATTTTGGTTTCAGGTCTGTGGATGACGCCCCGGAGTGACAGCTAACGTCTTTCCTTTAGCGGTTTATTGTTGAACCAGTAAAGTCTGTGAACCCTAAGAGCCTTGTGTGCGTTCCCTTTTTTACGCGACTCAGACCTTGTAGCACATACTGTGTTTGCGCATGACACTTCACTTTAGATTCTCTGGTCGATCTTGTGAAGACCTCGGATGGCTTTCAAGATGTCTACCCATGGTGGCGGGTAGCTTTCATTCGTATAGAAGGTGAGATCCTAAAGGCATGGGGATCTTTAAAACTGTAGTTCGCCGTGTAGTAAAGACCTGTAGTAATCCCAGAACTAACCTGGGGTAACAGGCTCCCTGGCTAGTAGTCTAGCCAAATGGAGCTGCTGAAATTGACTTCTGGCTTCATACCCTGCAATGCTTTGGCGCTGACCCCACCTTCTTTGTACACTGAGGATATTGGATGTGAGCTGTGAGATCTCACCTGCACAAGCCTCCCCTTACCATGTGACTGTCCTAGGGGTGGACTTGTTTCCTATGGCGGGGTTCACATACAGCTTTATGCAAGGAGTTCGTGGCCGAACACCCTGCCTCTATTTGTAGGGGATGGGGTTCCGAGACAAGGTGTCTCTGTATAAGCCGTTATGTGCTGGGTTTTTTAATGACAGATAACTGGAATCTGGGAGCCCTAACATGGTCTGGTTTCTCCCAGCTGTTTGGGAATACTGTTGCCAAGGGTTGTTGCCTGAGAATCCTAGGACACTAGGTTACCCTGATGTTCAATTAATGTGCTTGGACTTTTCTCTGCATAAAAGCCCTGGCTGCCCATAAACTCTTTGTAGACCAGGTTGTCCTCAAACTCAGATCCACCTCCCTCTATTGTGTCTGGCCTAGAGTGAACAAAAGGGCTTTGAAAACAACAGAAACGAAGGGAGAAAAAATACTTACCCCCAAAGGTACTGGGAGGTGGGAAATGGGAATATTCCACAAATCTGGTTCTGTAGTTGCAGGACACTGTAGGGTCCCAAAGAGGACAGGGGTTGGAAGTTTCTCGACCCTCTGTGTCCTCAGTAATCCAGGAGGCATCCTCTTGTTCATGCTCCCAGCCAAGACCAGGGTTAAATGTTCTTAAAGGACATGTGGGGTCCTGTGGGATCCAAGCCCAACCTGGGAGAAGAGTGAGTCTATGACATTCTTGATATATACACTATCTTTATTTTGAGACAAGGCCTCTCAACATAACCCTGGCTGGCATGGAACTCACTGTGTAACAAGTCAAACTGGCAGGGCAGTGGTGGTCCACGACTTTAATCCCATTACTTTGGAGGCAAAGACGGGTGTGATCTGAGTTCAAGGCCCACCTAGTCTCCAAAAGGTAGTTAAAGGATAGGTAAGACTGTACACAAACCCTAGCAAGGCTGGCTACCATGCACAACTCAGGTAAAGGTTTGGTTATTTTAGGGTGTGTGACTAGCATATGCATACTTGGTGCATGAGGAGCTAGAAAGAAAATCCAGTCCCTGGAACTAGAGTTAAATAAGGTTGTGAACTACCACATAAACGCTAGGAACCAAATCTAGGTCCTCTGCAGAAGTAGCAAGTTCTATAACTGCCCAGCCAGTTCTCCAGCCTCATTTTTCTGTGTACGCTACCAGAAATTTATTCTAGCCGGCCGGTGGTGGCACACGCCTTTAATCCCAGCACTCAGGAGGCAGAGGCAAGCGGATCTCTGTGAGTTCGAGACCAGCCTGGTCTACAAGAGCTAGTTCCAGGACAGGCTCCAAAGCTACAGAGAAACCCTGTCTCGAACAAACCAAAAAAAAAAAAAAAAAAGAGAGAAATTTATTCTACCATTAATCCCAGTACCGGGGCAGTAGAGGTAGTCAGATTCCTATGAGATCCTGGCTCAGCTTGCCCATGGGGATGGGTCAGGGTAGTAATTTGTGCTTCTGCATTTGTATTCAAGAGTAAATGCAGGGGCTGGGCGGTGGTGGCGCACGCCTTTAATCCCAGCACTCGGGAGGCAGAGGCAGGCGGATCTCTGTGAGTTCGAGACCAGCCTGGTCTACAAGAGCTAGTTCCAGGACAGGCTCCAAAACCACAGAGAAACCCTGTCTCGAAAAACCAAAAAAAAAAAAAAAAAAAGAGTAAATGCAGGGGGCTGGAGAGATGGCTCAGTGGTTAAAAGCACTGTTTCCAGAGGTCCCGAGTTCAATTCCCAGCAACCACATGGTGGCTCACAACGATATATAGTAGGACCTGATGCCCTTTTCTGTCATAAAGGTGTACATGCAGGCCGGGCGGCGGTGGCGCACACCTTTAATCCCAGCACTCGGGAGGCAGAGGCAGGCAGATCTCTGGGAGTTTGAGGCAAGCCTGGTCTACAAGAGCTAGTGCCAGAACAGGCTCCAAAAAGTATAAAGGTGTACATGCAGATAGCACACTTGTATACATAAATAATTTGAGTTTTGTTTTTCGAGACAGGGTTTCTCAGTAGCTATGGAGCCAGTCCTTGAACTCAGGTATGTAGGTCTCAGCCTCCTGAGGCATAAACAAATCTATATTAAAAAAAAAAAAAAAGTGAACACAGGTGTGGAGGCCAGGCCAGAGTTCTAGTCAGGTATCTTCCTCAATTGCTCTTCACTTTATATTCAGGGAATCTCTGAACCCAGAGCTTTGCTGTACAGCTACTCCAGGTGCTTACTCCGGAAATCTCAGCCTCCAGAGTGCACTTGATTACAAGTGGGCTGCTGTGCCCAGCTGGAATTTGTGTGACCATTGGGGATCTGAACTCTTGCAGAGCAAGCACTCTACCCTAGCCCAGTTTCCTCGTTTACAAAGGAAAATTGTCCCCATTTTGAGTTCTGAAAAATCATAAGCAAAAATATTTTAGCACAATGACTGCATAATAAATGCAAAAAAAATCATACAACCATCCACCTAAAATATTATTACCTCTAGATAGTTAGATGTGGGGTAATTATATCATCTGCTCCCCTCCCCAGTAGTGAACCTTTTTTTGTTTGTTTGTTTTGTTTTTTCGAGACAGGGTTTTTCTGTGGCTTTGGAGCCTGTCCTGGAACTAGCTCTGTAGACCAGGCTAGTCTCGAACTCACAGAGATCCACCTGCCTCTGCCTCCTGAGTGCTGGGATTAAAGGCATGCGCCACCATTGCCCGGCTTGAACCATGTATTTTAAAATAGTAAAAATCCAGATTGCCACTAGACAACATAGCAAGACCCAGGCCAAACAAGATAAATAATGAATTCTGTCCACAGAAAGCAAAAGAACAAAACCAAAAGGGCAAATTAAGGCTATGGGTGCAGCTCAGTGGTAGATCAATTACGAGACAGGGTTTTTCTGTGCAGTCCTGGAACTGTCTCTACCACGCTGGCCTTGAACTCAGATATCCTTCTACCTCTGCCTCCTGAGGGCTGGGATTAAAGGCTTGCACAACCAAGGCCTCCAGGTGTAGTTCTGGCTGCTCTGGAACTCACTGTGTGGACAAGGCTAGTCTTACAGAGATCTGCCTGGCTCTGCCTGTCCAGAGCTGGAATTAAAGATGTGTGCCACCACTGCCCAGCAACACATACATTTAAAAAAAAAAAAAATGCTTGAAGGCCCTGGGTTCTATCTCAACAGTGCAAACAAAAGCAAAAATCAAACAAATAGTAGAAAGGGTAGAGCTCCGCCTGCAAGAAAAAAGGCTATCAAGTCAGCCAACTTGATTGTTTTGTTTTTTGAAGCAGGGTTTCTCTGAGTAGCTTTGGGGCTAGTCCTGGAACTAGCTCTTGTAGACCAGGCTGATCTCCAACTCACAGAGATCTGCCTGCCTTTGCCTCCCAAGTGCTGGGATTAAAGGTGTGCACCACCACCACCCAGGGAGTGGGCCAATTTGGTTTTTTGTTTTTTTTTTTGGTTTTTTCGAGACAGGGTTTCTCTGTGGTTTTGGAGCCTGTCCTGGAACTAGCTCTGTAGACCAGGCTGGTCTCGAACTCACAGAGATCCGCCTGTCTCTGCCTCCCAAGGATTGGGCCAATTTGAAGTTAGTCCCTAGAACTCTTAAGGTGGAATGAGAGATCTGGCTCCCACAAATTGTCTTCTGACCTACACACACACACATACTATGGTACAGGTACACCCTACTCATTCTTACAAGTAAATAAAGATTATTATTGCTATTATTTATTATTATTATTTTGTAGATACATTCTATGTAAACCAGGCTGACCTGTAATGCACAGAGATCAGCCTGCGTTTGCCTTCCAAGTGCCTGAATTAAAGGCAGGGGCCACCATACCCAACTACGCCTAAATTTTTTAAAGACCATCATTTCCAGATCAGAACAGCCTTTTAAACCAGTAGGGTGCAGAGCCCAGGGCTCAGGCTTTTAATAATCTCAGGTACTCAGAAGACTGGAGCAAAAGGATTACCATGAGTTCAAGGCCAGCCTGAGTTATAGTTAGCTTTAGGTCAGTCTGAGTTGCACAGTGAGACTGTCTCAAATAAATTAATTAAAAAGGACTGGGAAAGCCGGGCAGTGGTGGCACACGCCTTTAATCCCAGCACTTGGGAGGCAGAGGCAGGAAGATCTCTGTGAGTTCGAGACCAGCCTGGTCTACAAGAGCTAGTTCCAGGACAGGCTTCAAAACCACAGAGAAACCCTGCCTTGAAAAACCAAAAAAAAAAAAAAAAAAAAAAAAAAAGGACTGGGAATATAGCTCAGCAGTACCTCTTTAGGTTCACTTTTCAGTGCTTAAATAAAGGAACAAGCAAACAAGCCAGGCATGTTGCTACAGTCTTGCAAACCCACAATTTGGGAGGCTGAAGCAGGAAGATCTTCAGTTCTAGTTCAGTTTGAAATATTGAGTGAGACTTCTTTGAAAAACAAAACAAAACACCAAAGCTGTCCACTAAGGTCCCTGTTTCTAACATTCCTGGACACCTACTGTGGGCCTGGCAAGTCTAGATGGCAATGGCCTGAATGAATAATCCATCACCCTCACCTGGCTCTTCACTTGGATCCTGAAAGAAGGCTTCTGCTTCCTCCTCTTCACCATCAGTGAGCAGCAGCAACTCCTCATGTGGCCATTGGCTATCCTCCTGGTCTTCCTCTACCACCATAGAGGGCAGACAGGACTTTGGAGACACCTGCATAAGTACAGCAGGGGTGTTGGGCCCAATTGGAGGAAGAGCCAGTCCCTGGACCAGTAGTACTCACCTGAGCATCCTGCCGACCTTCACATCTGCCAGGCTCCTCTCTGTTCCTTGAGAGGGGATTCGTCAACCGGGGACTATCTCCAGACCAAGGTCCATCCTTGCTACTTCCTGGCACGAGGGCCATGCTTGTGACTCTAAGAATGCAGGGTGCTTGGGTTCCAGGTCAAGTCCCCTGCGCAGTGTCCCGCACAGACTATGCTTTAATCATCTTTGTAGAGGGCTCCTTAATCACTGCTGAGGAAAGAACGCTGACATGCTGGGAGATTATGGGCCTTCCAAGGGAGGAGAGAAGCCAAAGAGGAGACACAGGAGCTTTATTCTGCTTCCTCCCTGACACTGGGGATGGCAGTCAAGGTAGGAGACAAGGGCATCTGGATTAAAGCCCTATAAATAAAGAGCTGTGACGGCGGATTTCCTAACTCTGTGTTTGCTGGTTTTCTCAAGTGGACTTATTTGTATGTTATTTAATGAATGCTTATGTGGCTTTTGCTATTTCACAGAAACCTTTTTATCTATTTACCTTAAATGTTATTTATTTTATAGGTAGAGCTGTTTTGCCTGCAAGTATGTCTTCTAGAAGAGGGCATTGGATCTCATAGGACAGGCATCACTGATAGTTGTCAGGCACCACGTGGGTGCCAGGAATCAAATCAAATCAGCCAGTGCTCTTAATTACTGAGCCATCTCTCCTAGCCTGCCAAGAACTCCAGACAGTAGTGGTGCAGTCCTTTAATACCAGCACTTGTGAGACAGGGGAGACAGAGGCAAGCCTGCTCTACAGAGACAGTTCGAGGACAGCCAGGACTACACAGAGAAAACCTGTCTTGAGAAAACAAAAGTAAACAAGCCAGTTAGGATAGCACACATCTTTTTTTTTTTTTTTTTTTTTGATTTTTTCGAGACAGGGTTTCTCCGTAGCCTTTGGTTCCTGTCCTGGAACTAGCTCTTGTAGACCAGGCTGGCCTCGAACTCACAGAGATCCGCCTGTCTCTGCCTCCCGAGTGCTGGGATTAAAGGCGTGCGCCACCACCGCCCAGCTTGAAAGCACACATCTTTAATAGCAAAATTTAAGAAGCACAGGCAGGCAAAACTCTGGGATTTCAAGGCTAGCCTAGTCTACACAGCAAGTTCCAGGCCAATCATGACTAGAAAGTGAAATCATAGAAGCCCTTCGTTCCTTTGACTTTTTGTTAATTTTATGTTATGAGCCGGGTGGTGGTGGCACATGCCTTTAATCCCAGCACGCATGAGGCAGAGGCAGGCAGATCTCTATGAGTTCAAGGCCTGGTCTACAAAGCAAGTTCCAGGACAGCCATGGCTACACAGAGAAACTCTGTCTTGAAAAACCAAAACCAGGGGCTGGAGAGATGGCTCAGTGGTTAAGAGCATTGTCTGCTCTTCCAAAGGTCCTGAGTTCAATTCCCAGCAACCACATGGTGGCTCACAACCATCTGTAATAAGGTCTGGTGCCCATTTCTGGCCTGCAGACATACTCACAGACAGAACACTGTATACTAAATAAATAAATAAATAAATAAATATTTTCCTCCTGAATATTAACCTTCATCAGGCAATGAAAGGAGACAGAGACCCACATTGGAGCACCAGACTGAAATCTCAAGGTCCAAATCAGGAGCAGAAGGAGAGAGAGCACGAGCAAGGAACTCAGGACCACGAGGGGTGAACCCACACACTGAGACAATGGAGATGTTCTATCGGGAACTCACCAAGGCCAGCTAGCCTGGGTCTGAAAAAGCATGGGATAAAACCGGACTCGCTGAACATAGCGGACAATGAGGACTACTGAGAACTCAAGAACAATGGCACTGGGTTTTGATCCTACTGCACATACTGTACTGGCTTTGGGGGAGCCTAGGCAGTTTGGATGCTCACCTTACTAGACCTGGATGGACGTGGGTGGTCCTTGGACTTCCCACAGGGTAGGGAACCCTGATTGCTCTTCGAGCTGACGAGAGGGGGACTTGTTAGGGGGAGGGGGCAGGAAATGGGAGGTGGTGGCAGGGAGGAGGCAGAAATCTTTAATAAATAAATTAATTGGGGCTGGAGAGGTGGCTCAGAGGTTAAGAGCATTGCCTGCTTCTTCCAAAGGTCCTGAGTTCAATTCCCAGCAACCACATGGTGGCTCACAGCCATCTGTAATGGGGTCTGGTGCCCTCTGCTGGCCTGCAGGCATACACATAGACAGAATATTGTATACATAATAAGAAATAAATATTTTTTTTAAAAAAAAAAAAGCCGGGCGGTGGTGGCGCACGCCTTTAATCCCAGCACTCGGGAGGCAGAGGTAGGCGGATCTCTGTGAGTTCGAGACCAGCCTGGTCTACAAGAGCTAGTTCCAGGACAGGCTCCAAAGCCACAGAGAAACCCTGTCTCGAAAAACCAAAAAAAAAAAAAAAAAAAAATTAATTAATTAAAAAAAAAAGAAAAACCAAAACCAAAATAAATATTTTTTTTTTTGTGGTTTTTCGAGACAGGGTTTCTCTGTGGTTTTGGAGCCTGTCCTGGAACTAGCTCTTGTAGACCAGGCTGGTCTCGAACTCACAGAAATCCGCCTGCCTCTGCCTCCCGAGTGCTGGGATTAAAGGCGTGCGCCACCACCGCCCGGCTCCAAAATAAATATTTTATGTGCATTTGTATTTCGTCCACAGTCATGTCTGCATGAGGGCATTGGATCGACTGGAACTATAGTTACAGATAGTTGTGAGCTGCCATATGGGTGCTGTGAATTGAACCCGGGTCCTCTGGAAAAGAAGCCAGTGGTTTGTTTGTTTTGTGTGTGCTTTGTTTTTTGTTTGTTTGTTTAACATTTTATTTATTATGTATACAGTTTTCTGTCTGCATGTATGCCTGCAGGTCAGAAAAGGGCACCAGACCTTATTACAGATGGTTGTGAGCCACCATGTGGTTGTAGGGAATTGAATGAACTCAGAACCTCTGGAAGAGCAGCCAGTGCTCTTAACCTCTGAGCCATCTCTCCAACCCCTTGGTTTTTCAAGACAGGGTTTCTCTGTGTCGCTTTGGAGCCTGTCCTGGAACTCACTCTGTAAACCAGGCTAGTCTCAAACTCACAGAGTAACCTGCCTTTGCCTCTCAAGTGCTAGGATTATAGGTGTGTGCCACCACCGCTCAGCCAGAAAGTCTTTTTTTAAAACGAGCAAGGAATGGGCTAAGAAAGCATATCTATGATACAAAGCTTGCCTAACACTCTGGTTTCAAAACCTTAGAGAGAAAAAAATTGCTTCCTATTCTGTCCATTTGGCTGTGAATTTTTGTTTGTCCTAACCTCTATGTGCTTTGTTTTGAAACAATTTCTTTCAATGAAGCCTTGACTTGCCCCCAACTCTTCCAGATTTATCTTTCATTTGAGAGTTCAGGTGTTAGTCATTACACTGTGTACTTAAAATATTAATAGTCCTCTATTGATTTGAAACTTCCTGGGATTGAAAATTGGCAATGGTATTTATTTATGTATTATATACACAGTCTTCAGCCTCCATGTATGATTTATTTATTATGTACACAGTGTTCAGCCTCCATGTATGCCTGCAGGACAGAAGAGGGCACCAGATCTCATTACAGATGGTTGTGAGCCACCATGTGGTTGCTGGGAATTGAACTCAGGACCTCCAGAAGAGCAGTCAGTGCTCTTAACCTCTGAGCCAGCTCTCCAGCCCCATGGTTTTTATTTTTAATTAAAATTATTTTACTTTAATTAGTTTGTTTAAGACAGAATTTCTCGGTGTAGCGCTGGCTGTCCTAGACCTCACTCTGTAGAGCAGGTTGGCCTCGAACTCAGAGAGCTGTCCTGGGATGAAAGGTGTGCACAACCACCACCCAGCAAAAACTAGCAACTCAAAAATCCACAGTAATCATGCACTCTTTTATGGCAATGGCCCTAACTAAACTTTTTTCTTCATTGTTTTGTGTTCATTAATGTTTTGCCTGCATGTGTATGTGCACCACAGTGCCTGAGTACTGAACCCAGGTCTGTTAAGCCCTCTCTCCAGCCGGCTCTAGCATTTTTTAAGATACTCAGCGTCCTTTACTCAGCTACCAAGCTCCAGGATCTCATTTCGGGTGAGGTGGTAGCAGCAGGTGGTTTCCTTGTGAGTTCGAGGTCAGTGGTCTACATAATGAATTTCTACACAGGGAGTTCCAAGTCTGCTGGTTAGGGGAGTGCGACGGGTTTTTTGTTTGGTCTTTTTTGTTTTTTTCGAGACAAGGTTTCTCTGTGTAGCCTTAGCTGTCCTGGAACTCGCTCTGCAGACCAGGCAGATCTCAAACTCAAAGATCCACCTGTCTCTGCTTCCGGAGTGGTGAGATAAAAGGCCTGGGCCACCGCGCCACCACTGACCTGCTTCTGATGTTTTTTAAATCTATGATTTCAAGAGTCAAGAGTCTTGAAGAGCAGTGGCGTTGCACGCCTTTAATACCAGCACGGGGGAGGCAGAGGCAGGTGAGGTCAAGGCCAGCCTGGTCAACAGAGCAAGTTCCAGTAAAGGCTCCTAAACTGCACTGTGAAACCCCGTCTAGAAAAACAAAACAAACAACAAACAAAAAAATAATAATTTAAACGTTTCAACGGGGCCAGCACCGCTCTAGCCTGGAAGTTGCTCTATGGTTTTTCGGCTCCGCCCCGCCCCGGTCGCTCTAGCCGGCATGGGGAGCGGCGAGACGTCGCGGCTCCCTTCTAGGCTGCCGGAGGATGTAGAGGGCATCTCGTTGGTAGTGTGGTCGGCCATGAATATGGTTCGTAAAGCACTGGTGGTGGTTGCTTTGCTCGGCGCGGGTGCTGGCGTTGGCTCTACTCTGTTTGCCCTTGTAACCCCAGGAGAACTACAGAAGCAGGCAATGCTGCAGGTAGAAACACCCGGGCTCCCCGAGGTGGGTGTGCGTGGGAAGAGGCCATGTCTTCGGGCCCTGGCTGCAAACATCCTTCTTGCCCTTAGGAGTTTCCGGAACGGGACCCGCGGCGCAGGGAAGAAGCTGCCCGAACCAAGGAACTAGTGATGGCTACTCTGAAGAAAGCGGCAGCTACGGAGGAGAACGTGGCCTGGAGGAAGAACTGGACGGAAGCAGTTAGCGACGGCAGCAGGTCAGCGTGACACCAGAGCTTGCCTGCGGGACGTTCGAGGCGCCTTTCTCTGTGCGCGGGCGTGGAGTCCGGATTCAGGATAACACGACTCTAGCAGGCACAGGTAGCTGTCGTTGGTGGTCGCGTTTAACGTGCACATCGCGTGACAGGGACGAGATGGGGGTCGGATGTGTGGAACCAAAGGAACTAATAAATCCAGTCCATCCGTTAAGTGGATTCCGCAGCCGGATATTTAATGCCTAAAGAGCTGGGAGGGTCGGCACGGTGGGAGCAGAAGAGTAGCTGATTGCCACTCGTCCTGGGGAGTTCCAAGCCCAGTAGGTTTTCTGACTATTAAAAACAGGTCACATGAGCTAAGTTTGCTTCAACAACTGGCGGTAAAAGAAAAAAAAAAAAAAGACTTTCCTAATGTCTGTTTTGTGTGTCTATGTTGTAGAGCGAAAAATGAAAGTGCGGACGCGCTGCATATATGGAAGTCACAGAACAGTGTTTAACTTCGGTTAAAGTCTCTTTCCAGTCAGTGTTGCCCTGATTGTGCTGGAACTTGCTCTGCAGACCAGGCTGGCCTCACAGCTTCGCCTGCCTCTGCCTCCTCAGTGCTTGGGTTAAAAGTATGTACCTCCACTGCCAGGCCTTGTTAAGGCTCTGTAAGAGAAGCTGACTCAGTACTAAAACATCTGTGTCAGATCATTCTCAAGCATAGCTCAGTGACATACACCTATAATAACCACAGTACCCAGGAGGGTAAGAAGATAGTAGTTTCAAGACAAACCTGGGATACTACCTCAAAAGAAAAAGATTTTGGTTTAACTACATGATATTCTGAACTGAGTGTTTATCCTCAGCACTTGGGACAGAGGAGCAGGAAGATCTCTGCCAGGCCAGCTTGGTCTGCTTAATAAGTCCCAGACCGTCCGGGCTACAGTGTCGTTGAGAAGTGCAGCAGTGCATGGTGGCTGAGTCTCAGCACCTGGCGGCTTGAGCCAGAATTCTAACAAGCTCAAAGCCAGCCATGGCTATAAAGTGTTTCAGGCTGTCCTGGACTATAGTTGAGCTCCTGCCACGAAAATCCCGCTATTCCCCCCAACATGCAGCCTCTTGCTAAATGTAATGAGGGACGGTTGAAAGGGCTGTGGGTAAAAGCACCTTGAGCTAAGCCTAGGACCTAAATCTAATCCCTGGGACCCACATGGTGAATGAAGGAAAGTGACTGCTGGTTTCTTTTTTTTTTTTTTAAATATTTATTTGTTATGTATACAATATTCTGTGTGTATGTCTGCAGACCAGAAGAGGGCACCAGACCTCATTACAGATGGTTGTGAGCCACCATGTGGTTGCCGGGAATTGAACTCAGGACCTTTGGAAGAGCAGGCAATGCTCTTAACCACTGAGCCATCTCTCCAGCCCCGACTGCTGGTTTCTTATGACCTCTACATTTTCTGCCTCCACAGGCATACATGTAAATATATGGGTCTATGCCCCCAAAGTTGTTTATTATATGGTGGCACACAAAACCCAGGGCCATGGGCTTGTACCTGCAGAGATGAACCAGGCCACAAATCCTTTTTTGATTTGGTACTGAGGATTGAGCCCTAGCACCTTGGGTATGCTAGTACCCATCACTGAGCTCCACCTAGCCCATATACATATATAGGTGTGTGTGTGTAATGTTTAATCTTTTGGCATCTTGGGGGGCCCACTACCCAACTCCCAAATAAATCACACAGAGGCTTATTCTTTGTTATGAATTCCCTGCCTTACTTAGCTTGTTTCTTTTTTCTTTTTTTTTTTTTGATTTTTCGAGACAGGGTTTCTCCGTAGCTTTTTTGGTTCCTGTCCTGGAACTAACTTAGCTTGTTTCTTGACAGCATTTTTAAAGACAGGGTTTCTCTGTGTAGCTTTGGAGCCTGTCCTAGAACTCTCATAGTAGATCAGGGCAGCCTTGAATCCACCTGCCTCGGCTTCCTAACTGCTGGTATAAAGGTTTGTGGCACTACCACATTGCAGGAATTACAAGTTCACTACTTCCCTTTTAAAAGGGCTCTGCCCATCTCCCATCCCTGAGAGGCTGGTCTCCCCCCTTCCCTTAATAAAAACCCCTCCACAGTAACTGATGCATGGCGCTTTTCTTAAATTATGATAGTCTTGGGCTGTAGAGATGGCTCAGAGGTTAAGAGCATTGCCCGCTCTTCCAAAGGTTCTGAGTTCAGCAACCATATGGTGGCTCACAACCATCTGTAATGGGGTCTGGTACCCTCTTCTGGCCTGCAGGCATACACACAGACAGAATATTGCATACATAATAAATAAATAAAAATTATGATAGTCTTGCTATGTCATCCTGGGTTTGCCTGAACTAACCTCAGTTTTCCTTGCTCCCTAAGTGTTGGGATTATTATAGGCAATGATGATTTGGTCTTGGTCTTTTTTATGTTCATTGGTGTTTTGTCTGTGAGGACAAAACAGAAACCCTAGACTGGTGTTATAAACAGGTGTGAGCTGCCATGTGGGTGCTGGGGAACTGACCCCAATCCTCTCAAAGAGCAGCTAAGTGCTCTTAACCAGAGTCTTCTCTTAAGAGCAGAACATATACCTGCCATGAATCACATGGTGACCATTGCTGCTTGACAAAATTCCAGCTTTTCAACTTTATAGACCACACTTCTCCAGCACCTTTTTACTTTTATTTTTAATTATTCTCACTATGTATGCCTTTCCTTTTGGGAAATTTTGTATGGGCTTTGGTAAAGGATTAAAGTGTGTACAATGGGCAGGGTGGTGAACAAAAAAAAAATAAAAATAAACACCCCACAAACCCACTACTTTATATATAGCTAGTGTTTACGGGGCATGTACTATGCCAGGCAATGCTAAAGCATTAGATGTTTCACAATACAGGAAATAGATACTATTAGCCTATCACTGTTTCACAATACAGGAAATAGATACTATTAGCCTATCACACTAAGGGAGTGGCTTCAAGAAGTCAAGGCATATGATATACATGATAGTAAGGCCTTGGGATGGAGAGATGGCTCTGAGGTTAAGAGCACTGGCTGCTCTTCCAGAGCTACTGAGTTCAGTTCCCAGCAACCACATGGTGGCTCACAACCATCTGTAATGATCTGATGCCCTCTTCTGGCCTGCAAGTATACATGCAAGCAGAACACTGTATATGTAATAAATAAACAAATAAATCTTAAAAAAAAAATAATAGTAAAGCTTTTTTTTTTCTTTTGATATTTGAGAAAGGGTTTCTGTGTGTAGCCTTGGCTGTCCTGGAAGTGCTGGGTCTAAAGGCGTGTGCCACTACCGCCCAGCCCAGTAAGGATTTTAAACTCAAGCCCAGCATGATGACACACATCTTTTTTTTTTTTTTTTTGGTTTTTCGAGACAGGGTTTCTCTGTGGCTTTGGAGCCTGTCCTGGAACTAGCTCTGTAGACCAGGCTGGTCTCGAACTCACAGAGATCCGCCTACCTCTGCCTCCCGAGTGCTGGGATTAAAGGCGTGTGCCACCATCGCCCGGCTGATGACACACATCTTTAACCCCAAATTTGGAAACAAAGGCAAGGGATCTCTGAGTTTGAGGGCCAGCCTGGTCTATATAGTTCCAGGATAGCCAGAACTACATAATCTCTGTTTCAAAATAAACAGAAAATCCTTAAGTACCACTTTATGCTTACGAACAAGAGGTGCTGTGTAATGCACACACATACACCCCCAGCAAGTAATCAGTCCTAGAAAACTACTGCAAACTGGACAAAGGTCCTTCTTCAAATGCCTTCCCTTTATCTTCTCGTAGTGCCCTTTCTAGTCATTCAGGAAGGAGCCAGTCATATACAGAACTCAAAAGATCTATTTATTAGGAAGGAAATGTCAGTGCTTTATCAAAGATGAAGAGGTCAGGAAGGATTGATGGGATGGAAGACCCTCAACTGGGACACTTCTTGGCCACAATGAGGACAGCAGAAGGCACGAGTCCTAAAGATAGAAGAAAGAGTTTGAATTACAAGGATACTTCGCCTTAGGCCTTCAAATTTCTGGACACATACATACCATGTCCACTAATCCCCTTTCCTTTTCCTATCTCTACTGCCCCTCATTCCTTTAAGTCCTGACTCCTGGTCTCACATAACATACCCAGTTCCTGCAGAGGCCGCTCCATGTCAGCCTCAGAGAAAGCCCTTCTAGGGAAGCCACTGAGCAACTGCACAGGGTCCTGGTCCTGTCCAGGTTCTTCCCCACGGTGAAGCTCTACATAGAGCCTCACAGCTGCCAGCTGTTCCCGGGCCCGGAACGTTTGGGTCAGGGATGTCCCATCAGGCAGCCTAACCTAGAAGGCAAAAAGTACTATGAGCACTGAAACCGAGTGAGGACTAGGATATGGGGTGGCCTGTGCCTATAGCCCCAGCACTTAGGGGCACAGACAGATCTCTGAAGCTTCAAGACCAGCCTGGTTTACATAAAGTTCCAGGGCTGGAAGCAAGTAGAACAATTTCAAGATCAGCATCAGGTACAGGAGACCCTGTCTCTAAAAATAAAACAATGAATAAATAAATAGGTGAGGCCAGGTAATGACAATACCTATAATCATAGCACAGAGAAGAAATAGGAAGGAGGACCACCCAAAGTCTGAGGTCAGCTTGATCTTCACAGTGAACTCCAGGAGGTCTGTAGGGCTGTACAGCAAGACCCAGTTCCGAAAATAAAACAGTCTGGAATAGTGGCATATGCCTGTAATCCCAGCACTCAGGCAGAGAGGCAGCCTAGTCTACACATCAAGACCCTGTCTCATAACAAACTGGCTGGACAATGGTAGCTCATGCCCTGGGGAGGGGAGAGAGGGCAAAGACAGGTGGATATCTGGGAGTTTGAGGCTAGCCTAGTCTATAGCCAAGGCTGTTACACAGAGGAACCCTGTGTCAAAAAAAAAACAAAAAACAAAACAAAATAAAACCACACACATACAAACTGAAGTAACCAAGAAGAGGAAGGAGATCTCTTTGAGTTCAAGGCCAGCCTGGTCTATGGAATGAGTTCCAGGGCAGGCGATCTCTGATCTCTGTGAGTTCTAGGCCAGCCTGGTCTACAAGAGCTAGTGCCAGGACAGGCTCCAAAGCTACAGAGAAACCCTGTCTCAAAAAAAAAAAAAAAAAAAAAAAAAAAAAACCCACAGAAAAACCCTGTCTCAAAAAACCAAAACAAACAAAATCTAGGAAGTGCCATATTATATTATGAAAACAGCTATGTAATAAGTCTAATGAAAATATTATAAGAAAATTAAAGGGTAACTGCTGAGTAAGAATGAAGTATGGATTTAAATAAGACAGGCAGGTGAAATTCGATCGCTCCCAAGAGTAGAGGAGGTAGGATTTCAAAAGTCATGTACAAAGAAGGGAGTGATTTGGCAAATGGGACTTAAATGCAAATAGCTCTGTGCTGGGTACCTTATAGGCCAACACAGGGTTCCAGGAGCAAGACAGCCACCGGAACACATACCTGTATGCGACACTGGTCATACTCCCGCTTGGTAGGGGGCTCCTGGCTGGGAGAAGAAGGAACAGGACCTGGTTCTGTTGCTGGTGGTGATGACTGAGAACCCACACTACCATACTGGAAGACAAAATAGGAACACTAGCTCAGTGCTAGCACACCAGTCTAGCATGCATAAAGATTCAACCTGTGAACTGCCGTGTGACTACAGATCACCCTGAAATAAAAAAAAGAAAAAACCCACAACAAAACAACCCATCCAGGGCTGGAGAGATAGCTCAGAGGTTAAGAGCACCGACTGCTTTTCCAGAGATCCTGAGTTCAATTCCCAGCAACCACATGGTGGCTCACAGCCATCTATAATGAGATCTGGTGCCCTCTTCTGGCATGCAAGCATACATAATAAATAAATAAATCTAAAAAAAAAAAAAAAACCATCCAGGTTTGGTGGCTCACAATTTTAAGTTCTAGCACTTGGAAGGCTGAGGTGGAGAACAAGAAGTCTGAGATCAGTCTGGGCTACCGAGTAAAATATGTCTCAAACAAACAATCATGTATGCACAGGCTTTCTCTTAATGAAAAAGGAAATTAACCCACCTCCTCCATTGTACCCACAGATTTCTAGTCACCCACCTTCTTGGCTCTCTCTGCTTTGTCCCTTTCAATTTTTTCTCGGACCCTTTGTCTGAAATGTAGACAGGAAGAAAAGAAATCAGAGACGGACAGGGAAAATCTTGATTTCCTTCTCAACTATCACCCAACGCAACAAGCGTCCAGACCTGGCGGCTAATTCCTCAGCCTTTTCTCTCCTGCGCTCCTCGGCAGCACGGCGCATCTCATCTTCCTGCAGTTTCTGTCGTGCAGCTGACAGCTCCTGCCCTTGTCTCCTCCGCTGCTTTTCTCGTTCCAAAGCTTCTCGTTCCTCCCTTTCCTCACGTTCCCGTTGCTTCTGGGCCACAAGCTCCAACATTCTGTTTTGCAGAGAAGAAAAAGCTGAAGTTGGACATGGAGTGGGAAGTTTAAACAGAGAAATCAGAACGAAATAAGGGAACACATGTTCCAAGACACAGGAGAGAAAACAAACCATAACAACAAACAGGAGCCTAGGAGTATAGCTCAGTGATAGAGCACACACTTAGCACACAAGGGGGCCTTGTAGTTAAAAAAGAGAAAGAGGCAAATGAGAGCTAGGCACACACCTGTAATTCCAACACTTGCAAGGTACAGGTAAGAGAATCAGAATCTCAAGGTAATCTGTAGTCACATAGGAGTTTTAGACCAGCCTGAGCTACATCAGACTGTTTGTTTCCTTGTTTGTTTTTTTTTTTCCGAGACAGGGTTTCTCTACCTCCCGAGTGCTGGGATTAAAGGCACGTGACACCACCGCCTGGCTGTGTCCTTGTTTTTATTTTGTTTTCCAAAAACTGGTCAGGTTCTATGCTCAGATTTGTGTTTGCATTGAGAGGAAGGAAGCTGGCCCCATGACCCTTTGGAAAGTGAGTCTATGGACTAGATATGGTGGCCCATGCCTGTAACCCCAGCACTCAGAAGAATGTGGCTTTGAACTTAGCCTGGGATATATACACTGGGTTCCAGGACAGCCTGAAGTACACAGCTAGGACCCTGTCTCAAAAAACAACGCAGGGCCGGGCGGTGGTGGCGCACGCCTTTAATCCCAGCACTCGGGAGGCAGAGGCAGGCGGATCTCTGTGAGTTCGAGACCAGCCTGGTCTACAAGAGCTAGTTCCAGGACAGGCTCCAAAACCACAGAGAAACCCTGTCTCGAAAAACCAAAAAAAAAAAAAAAAAAAAAAAAACGCAGGGCACTGTGGTGAAGGCCTTTAATCCCAGCACTCTGGAGGCACAGGCAGGAGGATCAGTTCGTCTTGGGCTGACTCCAAAAGAAACATACACACAAAGTGAAATTGTCAGCTAGTTACCTCTTAGTCTGTTCTTGTCTTTCCTCTTCGGTCATAATGGGTTTGCTTTCTCCAGCAGCAGACCCAGATCCTACAAACAAGCAACCAGCATTATTACTTATAATAAAAACATTCCGGTTTTCTCAGGCCTCACTAGATGTCTAGAATCACAAGATGTCTCCCAGTCAGGACCTTCAGGGCCAACTTGCTCTGAAGACGTGGGTTCCCGTCCCAGGATATGGCCGAGGGGAGTCTCTAGCGGCTCGTCCACATCGGGGTCGTCTTCGTGCTCCATAAGCCTGGGCAGGGAAAGTCGGCTCGGGGTTAGCCTTGAGGCCGCCCTTCCCAGCAGCCCCCAAACCTCCGCCACCCGGGCAGGTCGCTCACCAGTCCATCGCAGCCTCGATGCCCTGGTTCCCTGTGAGGGCCAGAGCCTTCTCCCTGGGGGCAGAAACACGGAGAGTAGCGCCCACCAGCCATGGTGACAGTCAGGCCGGGCCCGGCCCGCGGCCCCCCACCACGGGCTGAGGGGAGGCTCCCTTACGCGCGTCCCCTGGGAAAGCCCATCTCGATGAGGCTCTCCAAAGCCGTCAGCTCCGCCATGGCGCCAGCCGCCGCTTCCGCGGGGACCTACGGTGACGAGAAGGAAGGCGGCGAGGGTCAGCCCGGGACGACTCCGCCCGCGACGCCGCCCTCCGGGCGCTCGCGAACTCACCGGGTTGGG